CATTACCACGAAGATTTCTCCTCAATTCAAAATAAACTGCCATCATTATATTTTTGTACCTCGTTCTCTTTCTGTATTGAAGCTCTCTAGTATTTAATTCCGACGGTGAATTGCAAAACCGTTAAGAAAACATTCCTGAAAATAAGATGGAGTCTGAAATTTATCGAGCAGATAACTAACGTGTTTGAATTCGGCAGCTAGCCAAATCGCGCAAACCTCCAGTTCAGATGTTCGTTTCCGTCATATATATTGGACAGCCGTCCGACTGTTACGTCATGCGCCACTTGGGCAGACTTGTCATTGAGCCGGCAACATCGCACATATTAGCGATAGCCCAGCAATACATGTATTGATTGATTGATTGCATGGATATGCATCGTCTTTTAACATTGGACGTTTTCTCGGAATTCTTAAAATCGCCCAATTTTTATCCGTGAATACATCTTCACGCAATCATTTCTTCGCGAAAACTTTACTTTTTAACTGTATGCGGTAAAATGTTTCATATTATGTCACCATATTAATTCAAATAAATTCGTCCTTACTTCAAAAATAATAAATAAAGTCGTCATATTTCAGTAGTGAAGTAATTGCTAACATGTGATTTGCATTGATTTCGGAAATATGATTTTTTTAAAATATATCAAATGCATAACTTAATAACTTACTTTTTAGATTAGTTTCATTTTTAAATATTTTGCTATAATATTTATAAAAAAATATTTTAAGTATTAATTATTTTAACAAAATTTTTAACAATAATTTAGCTCGTATTTTTAGCACTAATTAAATTTAATAATTCAAAAGTATTTATATTAAATTTATATTTCATTAGATGAATCTACCTTAGATTAAAATATTTAGATGAAATAAAGTAATAAAACATTTCAAAGTAATTCTTATGCGGACTTCAGATTCTTGAAAGGGCAGATTTAGTCTCTTTTCATTCTCAAAATAACGCTGATGAACTATAAGAAAATTGCTAAAACGACCACGTCTGACGTTTCAGCGACGTCGTGAAATTGTCTAGATGCAACGGCAAATATTTTGCATTTTCGTAAATTTGTAAAGACGTCGTAGAATTTACCACGGCCACTTTGCAACCTCTCGGACCAGTTTGCAACTTCTTTGCAACGTAGTGTGCTACTTGGGAACATGCTCTTGTATATGAGTATCTTGTTTTCAGTAGAGAGAGACTGTGTTCCGAGCAATTAAAGGGTACGTTTACGAACCCAGAACTTGGCAAAAAGTTCTGTAATGATTGGGGGACTATGTGAGCCAGTGATCAAGGATAACGCCTAAGTAACGGGCCTGCTTAACCCTTTGCTGCACGGTCTGGGCACACCTAAAAATTTCCTTTTGTACGCACAGAAAAATTGAATGAAAAAGGATTTAGAGGTTGCTATAGGTTACTCTGAACCTTCTTTATTTATAGTAGATGGCAGCTCAACACACACTAGTCCATATATTTTAGCCATGTTTAGTTTCTTAAAACCCTCATTTTTCAAAGAAATCTACCATATTTTTTTAAGGATAGAAAAGCAATTGTTTGAAAAGAAATTTCTATGTTATTTTTTTGGCTGTATGCTAATCTCCTTATTCTATATTAGTTTTAAATTTTTACCTTGAAATCGCGCCTAAAATCGAACGGCGAACCCGAGGTGTGCCCAGATCAGGCACACCAAGACACCAGGACAACTGAGAGACTGTATTCTTTGTTTCTCCGTATCTCATCGGTCAGTTCATTGACAACAGAAAAGTGCGTCCACATATGTGTTTCATTTCCTGTTTTTCTCTTTCTTCTTTTCTCTCTCTCTCTCCTTCTTTTTTTTTTTTTTTTTTTTTTTTTTTTTTTTGAGGGGACGTTTGGTTATTAACTAATAAATTGTTGGGGTGATTTTCTGAAGGTCAACTGAAATTTTATCAGTTAGCTGTTTTGTTTTTTGCTACAGCAGTTCTCTTTTTCTCTTTCGCTTTTGTTGAAAGTTTCGCAAGCGCTACGTTTAGTAGTTTTGAGTTGTAGACGTTTATTTAATTTTATTTTACAGTTTATAATTCCTAATTGTAGATATAATATTAGTTTGTTTTAGATTTTTAATTATTTTCCAAACGGATCGGAAAGGGCTGACCATTTCTGAAGCACTGAAAATGCTACACGAATTTCATCAGATAGTGAATCTGATACAGATCCCGGTACATGTGCAAAACATAGAATATTGGGTTGTGCTTTTAAAAAGGTGGTGTCACTTTCTTCGAAAAGTACCACCATGAAAAAATACACTAAAGTGTAAATATGAAATGTAAATATCATATACCCAAGTTAACGTTTTTTCCCCATTCATACGCATGTAATCATCGTATAACCAAAAAAGAACCTTTTAGGGGGGGTGTAGAGTAGCAGGTTTCCCCGTGGCACACCCTAGGTAATGCTGAATCTGCTACAGTATTCAGAACCTAGTGTGTTTTAATTGTAGGCAAAATCTCTTACTCTTTCACGCGCTTCCCAGCAATGCTCGTTTCAGCACTCTTTTCGAAGCTCTATTCATTCAATGTACCCGCTTCGGGCACACCCACAGACTTAAAACAATAAGTGCTATCTTCACAAAATTTTACTTATGTACTCCTCTAGGCCTAATTAGACTGCCTACCTTTTTTTTATTGAAATTCCAACTTTAAAAGGTAACGTGCCAGAAAGGGTTAATCCAAGGGATATTGGACATTTGTATGTGACTAGGATCCAAATTCTTTTTCCTATTAAAGAGAATTGCTTCTGACTTCTCAACATTTATTTTAATTTTTCAGACATTAAGCCAGGACTCCAGTGAGTGTATGTGTTTGTAGTACTGGGCCAAGAGATGCGCTTTGTGTAAGAATTGCCATGTCATCTGCGTACGTCCCAAAGGTGGTGTGTGGTGTATGTGAGATCTCGTTTGTGTAAATATTGAATAATGTGGGGCCCAAAAGAGACCTCTGTGGTACAACAGCCCGGACGCGTCTAGGAGTAGATAATGTGCTCTTGACACGAGTGATAAAGTGTCTATCAGTTATATAGGAGCGAATGATGTCTGAGATGTAATCTAGGAAACCCAGGGTTATGCGTTTGTATATGAGGCCTTCCAACCAAACGCGGTCAAAGGCGTTGGCTACGTTTAGGAATATTTCTCCAGTCACGTCTTTATTCTGCAGACCTATAGAAATCATCTCAGTCACCCGGTACAAATGATGAACGGTTGAGTGATGCTTTCGGAATCCATATTGTTCCGACAGTAATTTTTAACTATGATTCGTTACCTTTATTCCCCTCAGCAGGAGGGCAATAATTTGTAATAAATTCATATAGTCTATAGCATGGGTTCTAAACCCAGGGAAATTCCATAGTTTCAGGGGAAGAATGTTATTAGCCTTTGATTTAGACCTTACGTATTTCGCTTCAATTTAGGAATATAAAAAAAGTATTTTTATTCACGTTTTCGTATTTATCAACATTTCCTGCACCACAGATAATTGCTAAAAGAAATTTTACTTGCGTATAAATGCACTTTGGTTGATATATTCATAGTAAGCAAGGGCTGTAACTGGGCTCTTTACTCAGATCTCAGACGTACTGATTGCTGAGGTTGAAATTAAGCATTGATTTGTGTGAAATTTTCGTAGCATTATTTATCCCGTTAATATGAGTCACTAAAATTAAAAAATTGTCTGTGGAAAGGAATTTCTTGTAACCCAGATCACAGTTTTTTAAAAGGTCAGAAACGCCTAATAGTTGCCTCTCTAAACATCTTTGAGGGATATACTAATTCGTAACTACTGTAACGTCTTAAGCTATTTTATCGACCGCCATGAAGTTCTGCGGAAAGGAATGACCACCTCGAAAGTTCCCAAGGATAGAGTATTTCTTAACGAATTATCGGAAAAAGGAAGTGACCACCAGTCACAAAATAATCTCAGGTTTTTGTTCCTCTTATAGTTGTTCGAAGGGAGACATTGTTCCGTTCCCTTTCATCAGTTTATAGGTTCAGTGTCTCAGACCACCCGGTTTGAGTCCCCAGTTGGAACAGAAAAGTTCTGACGGATTTTTTCCCAGGCTGTCTTCATCATATCAAGTTGTTAATCAAAGGGCTCTCGACTATCAACAAGCGCTTCTAAAAATTACATACAAATGAGGATCCTGGGATTCGTTTCAACATGTCCAGTACAACTTGAAAAAAATCATGGAACGCAGTTCCAGAGAGAAGAGAAAGGGAAACTGAGTTGCAGTAAATATAGAGAGAGAAACCTTCTCTCGGTTTCTTTTCCCAGCTCGGCCACGAGCAAATTTTATTTTCGCTCTGCGTAGTATCTCTGTCAAGAGATTACAGCGAGGTAGCGGGTTCGCCGCTACCTTACGGAGGAGCATCCTGCTCAGCAGTTCAGTCCGGCAACCACCGACAGTTGATTAAGTCTACACAGCCTCATTTTGAACCTACCCTCATCTTGAACTATTTCCAAACAAGAACTTTCATCTTGGCTGAATTCTAAACACGAACTTTATACACACCTTCTGGGAACTGGTTATATTTCTTTTCCCCTCAACCTACTGTGAGGATAATATTTTATAAGTTTATTTGTTTATATATGTATATATATATATATATGTATGTATATATTTTTTGCATATAGCCTAGAAAGAACCCAAATAAATTTATTTACGCTACCTCTTGTCTTTCGAATTCGTCACACTACGATCGTACTAAATCGTCCGTGTGTTGCAGCTACGTGGGTTAAATATTCAGTATCTGCGCAATCGACGGTGTAATAGCTTTCGCTTGTTTAGCGTTATAAAGCTATTGAGGGTTAAAAATATTAATTTTCTTGTCTTGCTTACTTTCTGGCAAATTTACTTTATCCTTCTGTTAAGTCCAGTATAACGATTATTCTTCTGACCGAGTTTCTTTACTAGAGCTTTACTTTACGAATACAGCAAAATGCATTCACTTTTCAAAACGTAATTAAGAGCCTTGGCAGTGTGTGTCGTCGACTAGTAGCTCATTTTGAACACTTTCGGAGTTCTTTCTGCTAAAAGAATAGTAGAGAGTATTTTTTTTAAAGTTCTGTTCGTTTTCCTTCTCAACATTAATGGTATGGCTCTTTATAACTTGAAAAATCCAGGTAAGCTATTCTTATTACATTTCTATAATGTGAAATTTTATTTTTTGTTAATGCCGCTGTAGGAATAGTTTAGAATAAATTGTTTGTCTTTGAAGTTAATCGTTCAAGAAATATGTATTTCCAGTATTCTTGAGTAAAATTAGTGTATTTTGAGAGAGTAATTGCTATTATTTATGTATCTTAATAAAACGAATCTTAAGCGCTGTGAGTTTCAAAAAAAAAAAAAAAATTGCCGATTTCTCGTTTTTACTTCTGTATGGAAGTACGCAATTGTCAGTTGTGTTTACTTAAGTACACCTGGAAAGTTTATGAAACTAAAAGAGAGTTGTAATGTATGATAAAGAATTAAATAAAGTTTCAAGGAAGGAAACAAAACTTTTGTCAATGCATTTAAATCGGAGAGTAAATGATTTTAATCAACATAATTTAAAAAAAAAAAAAAAAAAAAAAAACTCTGTGATTAAAAGCGGACTTTGTCCCACTTTTTTGTAATGATAAAATGTGTTAAAAGGAGGGAGTAAGATAATCAGTGATGCTTTTAAATGAATTTTATTTCAGAAGACAAGCAACAGCTTTTTAATACAGCATATTTTAAGCTTACTTTAAAGCTTTTGTGAGATTTTTATCAGAGATAAAAAGCATTTTATTAAAATCGGATGTTTAATTAGGTCTATTATAACTTTCACATTTGTTTTAAAAACACTCAAAGTCTTCATTGTATTATGTAAAATTAAGTGTAACAAGCACAGTGAGTTCCTATGGGTAGAGGAATTGATTGTGCTTTCCTTTCCCCCTTCCACTTTTACAAATTAAAAGCAAGGTAGGATTGAAGGATAAGAAAGAATTAACGCCTATTCAGTAGTTAACCGTACTGTGTGATTTGAATTTGATTGGTACAGCCTATTAAACAAACTAAAATTATATTCTTATATTTCATACCATTAACTTTCTCTTTTGTTTATACTGTTTCCTGCAAAATTTTAAGTGCTATCACTTGTGCTAACTTACTGCTTTGTATCTGAAATTTTATTCTATTTGTCGAGTTTCTGAGAAATACAGTGGCTCCCAAAAGTGTTTGTACACTTATGATTTTCATTCAAACAGGGCTCTATCCATTAATTAAAAGTAAACGTTCTGAATGAGATTTTAATAATAAGATCTATAATCTATTCGTAACAAAATTACATGAAATATTTTTTAAATATAGTGAAACTTTATTTTTAAGAAATTAATAATCAAGAAATGACAAACATTTTATCACACAAAAGTGTTTGTATACTGAAATATTTTTGGATAAAATCAAAATTAGAATTATCGTTTGCCCCCCTTTTTTTTTTTTGGCTAATCTTTGGAATATGGTAACAGGTAGTTTGTCAACATTTTGGTAAGGCGATAAAGGTTACTAGCTAGGACTTTAGCAGTGTACATGGATAAAGTCAAGAGTGTGCGCAATGCCATTTTGTGCAATTCTGGGATGTTTTTTTAAGTGAAAATATGTCGATGTGTACATGGATGATACTGTGTATGTGCAGTTCTTAAAAACGCGGCAAGACGTGGGCGATTCTGCACTTTCTCCCAATTTCGCACCTAATTTTCGTCATGATTAAGCACTTTTGTTCCATAAAAGTTCTAGCATGAGCGTAATTCGGATTGCAGATTGTTGGGAAAAAAATGTTGAGTTAAAAAAAAAAATGCCTTTATTTTGTGAAAACAAAATGGCGTCCAAACAGAAACTAGCAGGTTGCTGTAGCAGGGTTGGTCGCCAAATTTTCGCCAAAAAATTGCCAAGTTACTATAATCCAAAGATAAGCTTTTTTTTAAAAAAATTTTTGCATTGTGGTGGCATTTAAAAATTGTTTGCTTTAATTTTTTATTGTTTACTTCATAATATTCTATTTATTATTGAAAAATGGGTCGCAGTCATAAAAAAATTACAAACAGCATCCGAAAATTTATATATTTTTTTTTTGCCATAGTAGGGGTAAATCAATTCGAAATATCACTAAATTAGTTAATTTATCCCATTCTACAGTGCAGTATGTGATAAAACGCTTCAAAGAAGAAAATCGGGGTAGAGTAGACTTTAAGGTACCCCTTGTATTATGGCGAAGTTGTTTGATTTATCGCCAAGTTGCTGTTTCATTTATGGTAGCCTGAGTAGTTGAATGATGTGGAAATCCTATTTTGATGTAATCGGGTGCATGATTCTGGGATATTTTGAATCGTGGGATGTTTCGTAAGCATTTTTGTGGTGTGTGTTGGTTTGATTCTTTAGATGGTAGAATGGCCGAATGTAGTAAGATTAATTTGAAGTTTCTGTACGATTTGGAGTGAAAGGGGAAAAGAACTTTAGGTACTTTTCCGTTTCGCCGGCGCAAATCTCGCCAAGCAGACTTTGTTGGCGACAACATACAGTATACACATAAAAAATGTTAATGTTAGTTCTAAGCATTTGTTATTTTGAAGGCATAAACATTTTAATATGGTTTAAAATTTTTTAAAAAGCCAATAAATAAAGACAATAAATTCGTAAAAAGACATTAATTTAAGAATTTACTATGCTTTCATGGTTCAACATCCCGATTCGCCAGTTCTTATCACGTGACCCCCAAGTGATCTCATCTCACGTAAACTACGCTACAAAAATCTAATTCTCCCATTAATGATTTACATTAATTTCAAGTTAAATCTTGATTTGGAATACAAGTTAGTTTAAATGCAAGAATTATTTCAATTCGTACGAATAGCTTACTCGGAAATTATGTAAAACCGCACTGCTTTACTTCGCTAGTGCATTCTCATTAGAATGGATGAATTTAAACCTTGATTTTGCCTTTTTTATATTTTATCCTTCCGATGAGCGGTGTGATTGCATCCTAATTGACTTAATTACCGGGAATGGTCTTAGGGCATAAAATTGAACCATCTTGCAAAAATTCTATGTAATTGTATGCAAGTATTGAAAGAATGGCTGCAACTTGTTTTGAAAATGAAGCGTAAAAGGTTGCCAGCGAAGGTATTCCGTTTGCCATCGGTTGTACCATTATTGGCGACTTTATCGTTTGCGCCGGCAAAATGGAAAAGTACCGAACTTTAATTGACTGGTGTGTAAATGAAGGTTTACTTAGTAGCCATTATAAGTGTCCTGTATGTAGGAAGGATATGCGTCTAGTCGAACGTAAAAACCGTTTAGATGGATTTGAATGGGTTTGTAGGAAGAAAGGTTCATATAGTCACTATGTGAAGCGTTCAATCAGAAGAGTACCTGGTTTGAAAAAAGTCATTTGAGTATGATTGATATTTTGATTTTTACGTGGCTCTGGGTGTAGGAAGCGAAGTTGAAAATCATGGTAAATGAATATTTACTTTTGGTAGTGCTTAAATGTAAATGTATAACATGTTTTTCCTTTTTTATATTATTTTATTGTTTGGTTTAAAATGTATTTGGTTGATCTTTAGATTATGGTAACTTGGCGATTTTTTGGCGAAAATTTGGCGACCAACTCTCCTACAGCAACCCTCTATTTTTTTTTTCCCGCCGCCATTTTGTCTTTACGAAGTAAAGACATGTTTCTTTTCTTTTTATCTACTGAACACTTCTTCCAACAATCTACTAGCCGAATTACACTTATGCTAGAAATTTTATCTAACAAAACTGCTTAATCATGACAAATATTCACTGCAAAATTGGGAAAAAGTGCACAATACCATACTCCTTACGCATTTTTCAAAATAACACATACACATAAACCATGTACACGTCGACTTATTTTTACTTAAAAAAACATCCCAGAATTACACAAAAATGGCATTGCGCACACTCTTCACTATATCCATGTACACTCCTTTTTTCTCATAAATTAGAAAAATTTCACGAAAATACATGACAATTTTCTGAATCTTTAAACCGGTAAAAAGAACATATGTGAAATTACCTGATCGCGAAAAAGTATATACCCTTTCCAAATATGAACATTTCCACATATAGAATAAATAAAATATCCAAAAACTTTTACCTCTAAATCATCTATTATATTATAAATGTCACCAATGAATTCATACCGCAAGCATTACAAATACTTAGTGTCAAATATTTAAATTATTTCCATGCACGTTTACTTCAACTAAAACGTATACCAAATTCCTACAAACATAAAATTCACAAAATAACTATCATTTAATTAAAATATAATTAAATTCAAAAACACTACTTAAAATATAAATAAGCACATACATTAAATTAATAAAAATTAGCTTACAATCCTAATTACTTTAAACTAAATCATTGCTAATAACAATTTTCCCAATAATACCAAATTACTTTACTTCCACCTTACATTTAGAACAATGCATAAAAATAATCTCCTCAAATAATTAAAAATACTAACTTACCTAATCTTCTTCAGAATCTTGCTTACATGGTGGATACACTTTTATTATGGATTCAATCAAATTATTGAACGATTTTTTCTGCGAATTTTTTCTCGACACTTCCTCCGCTAAATAAAAAGCAAAATTCTCTTTATCACATCTAGAATTCACTTTAGACAGCGCCATACAATCCCAAAATTATTCAACCCTACTTCACACAACACACAATGAAGCTTAATACAAAATAATATACGGCCACTGATATTTTTCCAAATTCCCCCCTTTTCCGATTAAAGAACCGTAATTCATCCAATAATATCACATGACATATCCCATGATCTCTCATTTCCCTCACACAAAATAATGCGTAATCGGAACTGAGTACTGCTCACATTATTACCAAAGTCCCAGGTAGTAACCTTTATCGCCTCCAAAATGTCACCAAACTACCAGTTACCATATTCTAAAGATCAGCCATGTAGGTTATTGAGATTAAGTATTTTTTGTTTGCCTATTTTGTAGAATTTGGTGCTCCTTTGACTTTTTAAGTGAAAATATATCGATGTGTACATGGACAAAGTAAAGGGAGTGCGCAATGCAAGTTTGTGCAATTCGGGGATTTTTTTTTA